GTGTGTGGGTGGGGTTGAGGGAATGGGTGTGTTTATGTGTGGGTGTGTGTGTGGGGTGTTGAGGGAATGGGTGTGTGTGTGGGGGGGTTTGAGGGTGTGTATGTGTGTGTGTCTGGGTGTGTATGTGTGTGTGCGAAGTTGAAAGGGCTGTGCAGGCTTGAGGATTTGCTTGGCTGAGGGTGATTCAGGAGGAGGGGGTTGTGGGTTGGGATGTCTGTGGGGTGAGGGATGGATACAGTGTGAGGGGAGACTGCTCTCTGCAATACTCCTTGCCTGTCTAGAAACAGCAAAGACTTAATTGCTTTGAGCTTCCGGTTTAAAACTGGCAGCAAGTAACATACTGGGAGTGAGTCACTGGTGGAAACAAAGACTCTCTTGGTCTCCAAGTTGCAAGGGGCAGTGAGGTTAACTCTTTGCTCACCAACTTGTGTCTGCTGCCCAGGGGCTGTGGTTCAGGGGTGGTTGGGGAAGGGGAGAGGTTTGTGGGAGAGCTTGATGAAGTTTCAAGTCTGTATGTAATGCAATGCTCTGCACAGGATGTGAGTGGCATTCCCTGAATTTTCCATTTGCTGCAGCAGAGAGAGTGATTTAGTCATGATTTAGCAATGTCTGCACATATAGCACCTAAATCTCATTAAAGTCTTTCCGCTATGCAAGACTGTACTGTTTTGTATGGTCGTTGGAGAATGTGTGTGTGTAGGAAAATAAATGATGCTGGGCTTCCCCCAGGTCTCAGTTTATTATTTATGAAAGGCTGAGGGCAACCAGATCCAGACTGGGTTTGTATGGCCTGAAACACGGAGGAAGCCATTCAGCCTGCCTAACCTCTTCCAGCAGTCTATCGAATGTACAAATTATGTCCTGTCTATCCTTGATCACTTCTCACCTCTTGCTTAGGAAGAATCTGTCCACTTCTGCCTTAAAAATGTTCAAAATCTCTGTTCCACCAGCTTTTCAGGAAGAGAGTTCCAAAGACGCTCGACTCGGTGTGGAGAGAAATTTCACCGAATCTTCATCTTAAATGTCAACTGTTTATTTTTGAACTGACACCCTCAGTTCTAAACGCTCCTGTACGAGGAATCATCATCTCCACATCAACACTGTCATGACCCCTCAGGATCTTTTAAAGTCTAATCAAGTCACTTCACTTTCCTAAACTCCAGTAGATCCAAGCCCAGTCTGTCCAGCCTTTTCACATAAGGCAAGCTTCCCATTCCTAGTTTTAACTGAGTAAACTTTCTCTGAACCTCCAGATCCCTCTGCAGCTCAGACCTCCACAATCTCTCACTAGTTAGATAACATAACTTCTATTCTTTCTGCCAAAATGGAGACTTTCACATTTTGTCGCATTATACTTTATTTGCCAGAATTTTGCCCACTCTCTTAACCTACTTATGTCCATTTATAGCCACTTTATTTGCTCTTCACACCTTACATTTCCACCTGTCTTTGTATCATCATTATCAAAGGCCATTTAAGACAGAGATGAGGAAATTTTTTTCTCAGAGGATTGAGAGTCTTTGGAATTCCCTTCCTCAAAAGGCAACGGATGCAGAATCTTGAAAATATTTTTAAGGCAAAGTTATTTGATTCTTGATGACCAAGGGGATGACAAATTATTGGTGATGTGCAGGGATGTAGAGTTGAGGTTAAAATCAGATCAGCCGTGATCTTATTGAGTGGTGGGCTAGGCTTGAAGGGCTGAGTGGCCGACTCTAATTTCCTGTTGTTATATTTGTATGTTTGTAAAGTTAGCAATCATACCTTTGGTCCCTTTGTCCAAACCATTTATATAAATTAATTAATTAATCAGGCCCAAGACTAATCCTGTAGCAATCATTACATCTTGTCTACATGTAACATGGTGGTTCAGTGGTTAGCACTGCTCCCACAAAGTGCCAGGGACCTGGGTTCGATTCCAACCTTGGGTGAGTGTCTGTGTGGAGTTTGTGCATTCTCCCCATGTCTGCTTGGGTTTCCTCTGATAGCTCCAGTTTCCTCCCACAGTCCAAAGATGTGCGGGCTAGGTGGATTAGCCATGCTTAATTGCCCTTAGTTTTCAGGGACGTGTAGGTTAGGGTGGGTTATAGGGGGATGGGTCTGTTGGGCTGAAGGGCCTGTTTTCACACTGTAGGGAATCTATGATGAACAATGATCTATGAACTCCAGACCCAGACAATGTGGTTCACTTTTAACTGTCCTTTGAAATGTGTTTGTGAGCTTCATCATTCAAGGGCAATTCGGGTTGGCAATAAAGACTGGCCTAGACAGCGATGCCCACATCTCGACAGAATAAATAAAGATTTGTATTTACATTTAATCAACCTGTTCAGACATGTTGTGACACATTTTATGCAAGACCAGTCTTGTGCCAGTCTTTACTTCTGGGGTGGCAGGGTGGGGTGGGGGTTCTTGTGTCGCAGTGGTAGAGACCCTACCTCTTGAGTCAGAGCCTGGGTTGAAGTCCCAACTGCCTAAGACATGTGTCATAACAAATTCTATACAAGTTCACCATCACCTCCTTGCTATTGTACAGTGATCCCCTGTTAACAAAGCTGAGAATATTGTATACTTTATTAACTGCTCTGTCCAATTGTCCTGTCACCTTCAATGATCTGTGCATCTATAGAATCATAGGATCCCTATGGTGCATCCAACCAATCAAGTCTGCACCAACCTCTGAAGAGTATCCTGCCCAGACCCAGCCCCCCTACCCTGTCCCTATAACCCTGCATTTCCCACGGCTACTCCACCTAGCCTGCAAATCCCTGGACTCTACAGGGCAATTTAGCATGGCCAATCCACCTAACCAATCTTTGGACTATGGGAGGAAACCAGAGCACCCAACGGAAACCCACACAGACACTGGAAGATCTGAGAACTACACACAGACTGCCACCCAAGGCTGGAATTGATCCCA